ATCCTTTATGCAATTTTAACAACACAAGAGCTTGCTACACATAGCAACAAGATATAACATGCTTACACAAAGCAACTAGTTAGAAACATGCTTACACAAAGCAACCAGATAGAAACATGCTTACACAAAGTAACTAGATATAGATTCTCAAAGTTATCAACTTGAAATCTAAATGCTAAATCAACTAAATATAGCAATTTAGTATGGATGTACTTAACAACATCAAATCGCCAATAACCAAAACCACAGTCACAATATAAACATAATTGATAACTTGGAATTGAATGCGAAAACAAATAGTGGAAGACTTGGACATCAGTCGGATGAGACCGATACAGGGCTAATTTGGAGCTACTAACTCCCAGGTAGCCTACCCAACGCGCGAACTTTTCTTGGCTAATTTGGAGCTACTAACCCCCAGGCAGCCTACCCAACGCACGAACTTTTAACTTAGAGGACTCTTGTCCCCGTACTAGAGCCAAACCCTAGCCATCATGCAATGTCCCAAGTGGTTCCAAAATAATTAGATAGGTTTACAACTTATATACGTATTTAATAGTACACGAAACTACCTTCATGCACAAGTAGGCTGAAACCACACAACACATGCTCTAAATCCACAACTACTATAGGATGACAATGTCGAATCTTTAGAGCGTGATTCGTTACACGCTATAATAACATCACATGTCGAATCTTCAGAGCGCGATTCGTTACGCGCTATAACAATATAATCCAATATTGAAACATAACTCATAAATCCATTATAAGTCAAAAGTCATGCTTTAAACATACTATCAATGTCAAATAAATGAGTTAATCAATAATACAATAGAAACAGAATTTAATCAATAAACTAATTAAATTCCCTAGGTTTCAAATCTCAATCAAATGACCTCTAATTAATACAAGATAAACAATATAGCATGGTCATTACATACACTACATCAAAACTTGATTAGGCCATAAGAACAATAAAGTGGAATTTAATTAAATCATGATAATCAAATCCCTAACTTTTAAAACAATATCAAATGGTTCCAAATTAACATATACTAGAACATAAGCCATAGTTATCACAAATATCAAGTTAAACACTTAATTATGCCAATGGAACCCTTAATTAGATTTTAATTAATCATTTTAATTAAAATCTCTAGATTTTCATACTTGCCCAAATGCTCTCAAATTAAAGTATGTTAAACAAAATGCCAAGACATAATTTAAAAGCATATCACAAGTCAATTTTATGCTAGGTACGGCCATGGGATTTAATCTTTCACAAAAGATAAATATTAAATAAAACATGCAATTCTTATTCAATTAATCCCAATTTAATATATGTTAACAAACATATTAAAACATGATTTTCTAGCATGCCACAATTCCGTTCTAAGTTATACACATCCTTATGAATTAAATTTCATACAAAGAAATAATTAATACTAATTTTCTAGAATCGATACAAGGCATGCAATTAAGTTATATAATCATGCTAAACACTCAATACAACACATACAAAAGTCTAGAACATCCCCTACCTCAATTGGAATGAAAATCCCAATTACCACCGAAGTGAAATCGCCCCAAATTTTTGATCCGCAAGACAGATATTTCAGCTTGCTACCTTCAACTTGGGAAATTCATAAAAAATTCAATTCCAATCCAAATTGAATAAATCCAAAGCCCAATGAAAGGTTAAATACTGTAATTTGATAATATCAATTTAGTTTAACAAAATATTTTCCCAATTGAAACAGTTTTGACCCACAACTTTGAAACAAATTCTGCCCAGAAAACACATTTTCAGCCTGTAGCTTCCAACTTTGAAAATTCATGAAAAATTCATTTGACATCCAAATTTGGTAAACCTAATTTATTTTGGAAGTAAACATATGAGAGTGTAAAACTGGAAATTTAAGCCATGATCTAATGTCAAAAGGTTAGTGAAATAAATCATCTAAAAATATGTTTTCCAGCTGCAATAAAAACATGGACAGCAGATAGTCTCGGATTTTTAAAAAAATTTAGAAATGCTCTAAAATCGTGAAAAATTTCTGAGTAGTGTAAATCCATGGGGAAAGTTCTAGTAAAAATTTCAAGGTAATTGAAGCACCACAGCTCCATATAAAAATTCATTTCCGGACCGGATAAGAAAAAAATTAAATTTCCAGCAACTAGCTTGCAACTTCAAAAATTCATAACTAATTCATTTTAAATACAAATTATATGAAACCAAAACTAAATGAAAGCTAATTGATTATATTTTCATGTTATATATTTAATTTGACAAGATTTATTTCAAGTTAAAATAGTTTAAGGGCAGAATACAAGTCATTCTCTTCTATGCATGTAAAACACTCAATAATGACATAAAAATACTTCAAAATAATAGATCAATACCTCACTAGAGAATTGAATCTCTAGATACCAAAGCAAAATTAGGAGTTAGGCTAGATCCTTCAAGGGTTTTGAACAAGGAGAATGAGGGGAACAAAAAATATTCCAAACTTTATGGTCTAAAGTAAGTGGAAGGGCCTCAAAGATCAAGGTCAATGCCTAAAACTTCAAGCTTCATCCATGGAGGCTAGGGTTTTGTGGTGATGAAGAAAGAGATGAAATGTGAAAATGTGTGAGTGGAGGAAATAGAAATCCTCCACTCACTATGTGATCCTACACCATGGTCAACACACACATCTATGGTCAATTGTACAAAAACTCTCCTTTAAAACCATAATCCCAAAGTGGCCCAAAGATATTTGCAAGACTAAATTGTGAATCTACACTTGTCACCAATCCATGGCTCCTTCCTAGGCTTAATCCCATATCTACACTTGTCAACCATCCAAGCCAACAAGTGCACCAATCCTAGGCCAACAAGTGCACCAATCCTAGGCCAATAAGTGCACCAATCAAAGGCCAACAAGTGTCATTATGCAATGCATCAAAGTGTTTCCACACAAATGTCAACAAGTGGACCAATGAGAGTGTGACACTTGTCACACTTTTAAAAAATTGTAAAAAGGTCCTTTTTGAAAATATCTTCCAAATTTAATTACAAAATGGTCCCCAAAATGAAAAATAATTACTTTATTTAATTACACTAAAACCCCACAAGTTAAGAAGAATTACACTAAAGTATGCATTAATGCCCCTTTATAAAGGAAGTAAGCAATCAACATGCTTTTCTAGAAAAGTAAAAATACCACTATCATGGATATCAAATATCATGAATACATGCAAAATCAGAATCAAATTCGAGCACAAAAAGTGAGGTTGTGAAAGGAAAAAGGATAAACGAGAAAAAGACAAAATGTGAATAGTGTTCGGAAAAATAAAATATGGAAATGACACAATCCCCAAAAGAAGTTGTCAATCCAACGAAAAGAGTCTCAGAAATCATTCCAGAGCACTCGAGACGACATCAAGTGATGAAAAACCGAACCCAAAAAGGAAAAGATAACGGAAAAAAAAAATATCCGTTAAAATCTAAGAAAAAGAAAAGGAAAAAAAAATGACCGGGTCATTATAAGTTGGGTGTGGGATTGAATATATTCAACTTCACCTTCATATGGCCAAATGAGATCTTCATTATCCCCGTTCTACAATTGATGTTGGTATTAGCGGTTGCCAAAAAAGGACGGCCAAGGATAACGGGAATTTGGCTTTTAGGATTGGGGACCGATTTTGTGTCAATGACAACGAAATAAACGGGGAAGAAAAATTTGTCAATCTTTATCAAAAGATCCTCAATTATACCCCTAGGCTTCTTAATGGATCGGTCGGCAAGTTGTAAAAGTCTAGGGGTGGCAAAGTTTGACACGACCCGCCAACACGATACGTACATGACACGAGTTAAATGGGTAATGGGTTTACCATAAACAGGTTCGTGTCCTAAACGGATTGACACGATTATCCCGTTTAGTTAAACGTGTCGTGTTCGGGTTTTGAGGTTCAACCCGTATAACCCGTTTATACTCGTTTCATTAAATATGTCACCCGTGAACCCGTCTAACCCGTTACCTGTTTTGACCTGATTAGTAGGGGACATTTTGGTCATTTCATGTTTACATTACAAACCCTAATATACAAACTATACGTTTTAGCCTCTTGTTTAGACTTAAGATATTCTAGTCTCTTCCCTTTTCTCTCTTCTCTCTCTATTCTTTCCCCTCTCTCTCTCTCATCCTTAACCAGTAAACAAGATCACACTTCGAGCGACCAAGATCACTACTGACTACACTTCGACTGTCCAAAAGAGGATTTGAGGAACACAAACTACGAACAATCGAAGTAAGTTTTTTTTTTTTTTTTTTTTTTTTTTTTTTTTTGTCTTTCCTCTTTTTTAGATCTACTTTGAAATAACACTCGTTCGAATTTTTTTGCCTTTCCTCTTTCAGATCTACTTTGAAACAAGTTTTCCTAAAAATTTTTTATTTTTTTATTTTTCCTCTTTCATTTTCTGTAAATCATAAATCTTTTCTAGTTTTTGTTTTTTTTTTTTCCCAGATTTTAGGTTTTATAAATGTAAAACTTTTCAATCATCTCATTTTTATAAAATTAATTATGTTAGATCGATCAGATTCAATCAAGCCTAGCTGAGACAAAAAAGAAAAAAGAACTTGTGTTACATGATGACGAAAATCACGCACTTCAGCACTATATTTGCTTTCTATATTTGTTTATATATAGTGACAGAAGTATAACACCTTCCCAAAAGCAGGTTGTTCCATAGTGTCTATAAGTTAGCAACTCTGACCCTTTCGATTTTTTTTTTTTGAAAAATTCTAGTAATTTTTTTTTTTAGATTGGGGCTCCTGTGATGGCATGAATCTTTGACACCTGATTGTCTAATTTGATGACAATTGCAAGCATTTTTTATCTGAGGACCCCTTGAAGTAAAACAAAATTTTTATTCTTTTGGTGATTAACTTGTTTATGTTGTTTCATTGATTTAATTTAATTTATTTCAATTCTTTTTATTTGAATGAGTGTTAAGAGTAGATGATGAAATATGCATTGGGCTCTGAACAATTCTGCATTCAATTGTTAAATGATGGACAATGCAGCCTAGAAAGCTATTTCTGATCCTCAATTAGTTTCCTTTTGCTTATAAAAAAAAAAATATTGGATGGATTCTTTACAAATTATGCTAACTTTACTGTAATTTTATGTCTGCATTATTATATATGTCTGATTTATTTTTATTTTTTTTTTGGTAATATTTAGATGGATTCTTCCATGAGACTTGATGAAAGTGGATCAGAAGATAATCTTGATTTGATTGACCTTGAAGTGGATCAGAATAAAAATGCAGATGTGCAAGTGCAAGTGCAACCAAATATTAAAATGCAGGGGTTCAAGACTCAGTTTCAAGACTCAGTTTCTTTAAGACATTTATATTAAATTTTTTTATTTGGGTTTGTAATAATTAATAACTTATAACTTATCTTTTGCTTTTAATCTCTCTTTTGGACTAGAGTACAAAATTTCTACTAATGTTTGCTAGTATTTTATTTGTTAGTATTTTAATCATTGGCCACCTTAAACAGGTTAAGTGGGTAAACATGTTAAACAGGTCGTGTTTGGTGTGTCTAACACAACTCATTTATTAAACGGGTTACACGTGTCGTGTCGTGTCACCCTTTAATAAACGAGTCGTATTCAGGTTGAGGATATGTGACACGATTATTAATCGTGTCATGTTCGGGTTGACACATTTAGTGTTATACCCCTAGGTCGACACGATACGATTATAATACGCGAACCCGAATTGCCACCCCTATGTAAAACTACCGACGTCGGTTTCAATTAACCTAGGCCCAATTTGACATAAACCGAGTATGGAAGAAGGTTAACACTTACTCCTAAGTCAAGAAGTGCCCGATTAATGATATGATCACCAATAATGCATAAAGTAGTAGGTGAACCAGGGTCCTTAAACTTTGGTAAAGTGTTATGTTGCAAAATTGAGCTCACTTGCTCAGTTAAAACCACTTTTCTTGGTGCTTGGCTCTTGTTCTTCCGCTTTTGGGTACACAAGTCTTTCAAGAATTTGGCATAAGCCGGAATTTGCTTGATTGCATCCAAAAGTGGAAAATTGGCTTTTACTTGCCTAAACATTTTCATGATTTCATTGGTTTTTGCCTTTTGCTTGTCTTTTGAAATGGATCCTTTTAAGGTATCCGGAAATGGAGTTTTTGGCTCAAACATTTTTTCAGCACTTCCTTTTGAAAACTCTTCAACACAAGAATTTTTCAAATCATTTTTCAACAAAACCTTTTCAAATTCATTTTTCAGCAAATCTTTCTTCAAATCATTTGCAAAATCATTCTTCAAATCACATTTTGAAGCTTTCTCATTCACAAGATCATGTATGTGCAATGAAAGAGGAATGGGATGTGAAACGGGACGGGTGACAACTTGAGGTTGCACCAGTTCACTCTCTTCATTGAACTTTTTGACTTGATTGTCCACAATCCTACCACTCTGCAAGGTAGTCACCGCATTAACATGCTCAATGGTGTGGCCTTCTGATGAGGAATGGGTTTCCACAACACATTGTTGTTTAGGTGGGGCATTCATAGGCATCTTTCCTTTCTCTCTTGCATTAAGAGTGCTTGCTATTTGCCCTACTTGGGTTCCTAGTTTCGCAATAGATTGAGAGTGAGAATGAAGTAATTGTGTGTTTGCCTCAAGAGTGCCCAAAGCATTCAAAACTTTTTCTTCAAAGGCAGGACTTCTAGTATTTCCTTGGGAATAAGATTGGTTGGGAAAATGAGAGCTAGTAAATTGATTCCCTTGTGATTGATAAGGTCTATAACCTTGGGATCCTTGGTTTTGAAGTGGAGGTGGAATATCCTTCCCTTGAAAACCGCCTTGGGAAGGGTTTGGGCCCTCTCCTTGGTTTTTCCAAGAGAAATTTGGATGATTTCTCCAACTTGAATTATAATGAGTACCATAAGGATTGTTCCCTTAGTTCACAAAAGCTACATTGACTTATTCATTAGGTTCATTTTGCACTTGTCTGTGAGGACAATGAGAAGTAGAATGAAGAACACTAGAACAAGTCATACATGTTTCATTTGATGTACGATGAGAATGGTTAGGGAAGGAAAATACTTGGTTTGCCGAGTTTTGGTTAATCAAAAATTAATCAAACCTTTGAGATAAAGACTTCATTTCAGCGGCTATTTCATTTGAATGGTCGACTTGATGTAAGTCAACACTCTTCCTACCTTGTGAATTTCTACCATTCTTGGATGCTAATGTTCTAAGCAAAGAATTTTCACTCATGCTTTCATAAAGACGCCACACGTCATCCTAATGCCTATCAATGTATGAGCCACCCATGGAAGCATCAACCATGCCTTTGTAATTGTCCGATAAGCTCTCAAAGAAATATTGAACTAATTGCCATTTGGGCATGTCATGATGTGGACATTTCCTAAGCAATTCATTAAAGCGTTCCTATGCCTCATGCAACGTTTCTCCATCCCCATGTGAAAATTCCCGAATTGAGGTTCTCATGGCATTGGTCTTAAAAACCGGAGAGTACTTCTTCAAGAATTCTTGTTGCATTTCTGCCCAAGAAGTGATTGAAAAAGGCCTAAGATTGTTAAACCAATACTTTGCCTTATCTTTTAAGGTGAATGGAAAAAGTTTGAGTCTTAAGACCTCTTTTGGCATGTCTGTATATTTTACGGTGGAACATACTTCTAGAAACTCATCCAAATGCTTGTAAGGTTCTTCACTTGGAAGTCTATGATAGTTAGGAAGCATTTGAATGGTTTGTGGCTTAATTTCATAATGATGTGCTCTAAATGGTGGCAATTGAATGCATGTGGGTGCATTATATTCATTAGGCACATAGTGATCTCTCAAAGTAAGGGGATGATTAGCAATTAGAGGTGCAACATGGGCTCCTTGATTTTGATTTCCTTGAATGATGGGAGGTTGTGGAGCATACATTGGCCTTGGCATTCCAAATGGAACTTGGCCGTGTTGTTGTTGTGGTTGGTGAATGAATGGCCTAGGCATGTCTAATGGTGCTTGCATGTTCTCATGATGCACATTTGGATGGAGGATACCTTGTCTGTCTATGTGATCAAGGTCCTCCACATGCTCTTCATTATAGCCTTCCATTGATTTAATGGATTGGGTAGAACTAGAACTTCCTCTTCCCCTAGGATTTCTAACTACGGATTCAAGATGCAAATCAACAGGGACAAGAGTTGGTCTTAGTGATCTACAACCATGCATGCACAATGTAAAAACACATAAACACAATGAATGAACAAGCACTTCGACTTCACAACAATTCAATGAAACTTCCTCCACAAACACTTAACCCATACTCCTATGCTTTAACAACAATTGTAACACCCCCACATTTTCCACGCATAAGTTGATCAGGCTTATACACGAAAAACGAGGGATATCAAAAACAATTGGCAATATACAAGCATGGAATACAAAATGATGATAATAAAAGAATTTAGACAGGAAATGAACACTAAATAATACAACATCCATCCATCCTTTATTTAATACAGTACTCCATTACAACTTGGAAATCCTATGTCAATGATCCCTAAATATAACCCTGAGAGTTCAACGTCAAAAGTAAATAAAAACTGAAACTGAAGTAATACATAAAACTTCTACCCTGAACTGGATCGTAAGAGTAGATGAGTTCGGATGGTGGTCCCTCACTGCTAACCTCAACCTTGGAACGGGTACTGACCGTATCCTGAAATAACAACAATGGTGGGTCAACCCCACGAGCAAGTTCTCTCTACTATGACCCAAATCAGAGAATCAAACAAATTAATCATTATGAATCGGATGAGTACTATATCTGTATACATCCTAAGGGACTATCCAATGTATAACATGACCTCAACCAGAATAGACGGTGATCACTTAGACTCACACTAGGTGGTTAAGTGTCGCCTTTCCCTACCCGGGAAATCAGCTATTATACATGGTGCACGGTACTGACAACACAGACTATAACGAATTACACAGTGATAACACCTCTCAAAGTACTGATGAATATACTGAGCATATAAATTAGGCAACACATGCCAATAATATTACTAAACATACTGAGCATGTCAATTAGGCAACACCTGCCAATAATATTAAACCACATACCCCGACAGCCACACATCTGTCTATAGCAACGAATGCATAAGGTATAAATGAGTCTAAAATTATTAGCCAGCTCAAATGGTTCTATATGGCAACACATCCATGTAATATAAATGCGACATAATTTAAACAGTCCATTTATTCTCTGAAATGCACACAGCATAATACTCATGGTTGATATATGATTAACAGTATAAATATCCCATAATATCTAATGGCTAATTTATATTACGATAACCGTGACATTATTAACAGTACTACTGAATACCATTTAATAAAACAATAACAGTATCTATAATAATGTTGATAAATGAATCACCTCCATATCCGTACAGTAAACGTGCCATTTAAGGTTTAGAAATATTAATCGGCCATAAGAATAAGTAACGGGTAGTAAAATAATAATTTCGTGGCCCGTTAAACCCGTAAATACCAACACAGTACCTAAAAATCCAAGTTTAAGGTTCTGGAATTTACAAAACAGTCCCTAGGGGTATTCTGGACTTTTCCAGTAGCTGTAGGGGTCCCTCACGCGCCCCCACGCGCCTCCCAGAGCTTCCCACATGCGCCTCCACTATTCTCACACGCGCACGCGCTTGCACGCGCCCCCACGCGCGTCTGGAATCAGTCACGCGCTGCCACGCGCGCACTAATGCATCCTGATGACGCGGCACTTGCTGATTCGTTGGTTGCATGGTCTTGCTATGGGCGCGCTACACTGGATGAATCTACCTAATCCAACGGTTCTTGATCCGGGTGTACTGCAGTAACATGGACTGCGATGCACCGGATCAATCAGACTCTACCAATGGCCAGGATGCACGCGCGCACTAACCTACAATGCGCCGCATCACACCGGATCACTCCGGTCATCTTCTTCACTGCTGGTGGCCGGAAACCTCGCCGGAGGCTAGCCGGAAATTGCAGAAAAGCCC